CTCACAATTACAAGGAGATATTTGGACGAGCTGAAGACCATAAATAATAATAAATAATAATAAAATAATAATAAAAACTGAAGCAAAAAGGACAGAAAAGTGCAATTTCTTATATTATTCTTCATCATTTACCTGAAACACACAACAAAACTTTTTCTACCACCATATGGAAAAAATGTTTAAATATTTAAATTATTTACAAATTTATCAAAGGTACTTAAATCTTGTTAAATTATACACACTTACACATGTACACACTGTCAAAATACACATGTTAAAACTGGTACTAAAAAGACATATACAGTTAAATCAGATTTGAAATACTGAACACAATAAGGGCCCCTGCCTTTCTGAAGTTAATGATAGAATTACCTGCTTTTCTGGAGTATTGAATATTGTTCAATTGCAACATTAAAATTAGTTGGCTGTTAATGGGACTTTACTCTCCAAAACAAAGGATAAGGTGAAACAAGCTTCTGGGAGAATAAGTTAGAAATATTTATTGATAGCAAATTCTACCAGCAGTTCTATTAAAAATTACTCAGAGATATATTTCAATGTCAAAAGTGGTATCATTAAATTATCTTTTCTCACAAACTTCTTAACACAGACCACAGATTTTCATCCACATTAGCACTAGTCTGAATAAATTTGTGATTAAAAAAAAAAAGCGGTTTAAATGCTATCAACTTCTTAATGGTTCAAGGGGGGTGGTATTGGTTCAAGTGATTTAAATGGTATCAACTTCTTTCACTGACTAATCAGCACAGCTTCTACTTTCTTTGCCATTTTAACTTGCCTGACTTTCTTTGCCATTTTAACTTTCCTGACTTTGATGTCCACTCACTTTCTTTATACCTGCTTATTTTTAGGGTTAAAGAGTTCTTCAGTGCTTTTTTTTCTCTCTGCTTCCACCCCTTAATAAACAGATCTATTGAATTTTTAACAAATAATTTCAAATGCTTACCAATTTATGCATTTACCCCCTCAGGTCTTAAGTTATTTGCATCTCCATAAATGCTCCTTTTACATCAAACATAGCTACTGCTGTTTGCCATTATTTCACAATTAATAATTTAAACCAATGAAATTGAAATGTGATTTTCATACTCAGCCAGCTTTACCTTGGTTTCATGTCAATAGTCATTACTTCATCACCAAAATCTTGACAATTAAGAGCTTCATATTTATATGATATATATTTTTATCTGATAGTTTGTAAACTTTAAACAGAATCTTTTTTTATGTTACATTATTGTTATGGTAGTGTATGAAAGTGGTTATGAGGATTTGGGATTTTTTCCTATTTCGTTACTCTATAAAATTGTAAATACTAAATTAGAGGTTCAATGACATTTTGCTAAATTTCTTTCAACAAGACTGTTTTTCACACAGTGAAAAGACTGCTTTTTAAAGTGTATTTTTATGCTTCAAATTTTAAGGTCTTCCTGGTCATTTAGAAGATCCTAATCAAATCAGAATAGAGACTTAATGCCTTGCTTCTGCTTCCTTTTCTTTGTAATCTGATCCAGAAAATAAAAGAAAAAAGTATACAGTTGCAACAAAATAGTGATTTATTTGATGAGCATTATAAATATGAATCCACTAGCTATAAATCACATAATATTCTCTGAAATCTCTGAATAAAGTGCAGAACATCCTGCCTTTTAGCTGCTTGACACTAAGGCAACTGTGACAATTTAAAATGGCATCCCAGTCTTCTTTACTGTTTGTGAAAGAAATCAGAGCCTTTGGAATGGATACTAAAGGAAAAAGAACACTAAACACATGCAAGTAAATATAAAGAAAACATGGTGGAAGCCAAGTTTTGGGTTTTAATTAACATTTTTGGACTATATGCTTTTCCTGAAGATTAAATCAGTTAAGTACTTTGTAGTAGACAAAGCATTGTGTAGACATTAATATTTGATTACTGTTTGAATATTTTTACTGTTACCAGAAGAGGAATTATTCTCTCATCCTGAAACACTGAAATATGCATTCAGTAGGATCTGGGAGCTCATATTCTCCACTGTACTGCTTCTGTCATGAAGAGACTTAAAGGAGTCTCAAACTGAGGAAAATTACAATTTTATTTTAAAAGACAAACTTAGGGTAGTAAGTCTCTGTAATCCAGACTGTCCTTGTGAAGTTCATCAGAATTTTAGTCACAATCAAGGAGTGGAAAATGGAGAAAAAATACTTACAGATATATTGAGTAAAGTCCTGTCCTTGTGGCATGAGGGACAGTTATTGAAATTGCCAATATATACAAAAGAAAACACCAGCTACCTTGGGTGACATTGCATCCTAATGAATCTAAGTCTGAATATGCACAATTTTTTTTTTTTAAATATCTCATTCAAAAGCAAGCAAGCCATGCAATACAGATACACTTTGCTTGGTAAATGATATGGTAACACTTAATTTGCTAAGTAAATGATGTGGTAACACTTGATTCTAAAGCACTGCTTCTCACTCCTGAGCTAACTCATGCAGAGGTTAGCACAGCCTATTTGCAAGTCCTACTTGAAGTGAATATTAGCCAGAAAACCTGTATCATTCTACAAGTCTGATAGATTTATAATAAAAGTAGCATTTGAGGTACTGTAAGAGGGAAGAAGCTTGAAGGTGATCACAAAACACCAGAGTAACCTTTTTTTTTTTTTTTTATGTGGTCTCTGATTCAGTAATATCCATGGGGCTTGTTCAAATGGGTCTAAAAACCACTCATTACTTAAATGGAGACTTTTAAGATGCTGGCATAAAAGCTGAACAAAACCTTGAGTTTCTACAGATGTTCAATGTAGTAGTGTAATGGGAAACTGTTTTTCTTGGTTTTATTTGCTTTTATATTTAGTGAAACCATAGTTAAGTTCTATAGCAACTGCTGTAGGAAACTAGAATATGGTGAAGATTAATGCTCCAATGTCAGAAGCTGCAATTCCATTGCAATGATTTTCGCACTTCCAGTTTTTATTATTTACAGGTTTTTGTCAGCTACAGAACCTGCTTGAAACATTTCAGCATTTTACAAGCCTGACCATATTTACAGAAAATACACAAATAACTAAATATGAATAAAGTGATAGAGAAACACATAAATTACATTCTTATATTACTTATGCTGGAATTGCCTCTCTGTTAATATAAACTGAGGCTGGAAAATCTACACCTCTTCCCAGACAGTTTGGATGGCTGGATGATAAAAAGCCCCAGCATATTTGCACTCTTTTCTGTGCTTCCACACAACATTGCCAGAAAGGAACTGTTTTAGGTTTTACTGCTTTGTGGACTGTCTCCTTGCCTGTAATAACTTTTGCTACATGGCTGAGAAATGAAAAAAAACCAAAAAACCAATGTATTGATATACAAGAATAGGAGACACAGAACAAAGAGGGGAACAGAAAAATGGCAAAAATTGCAAGTAAATGAAGAATACCATTAACAACGGCAAATGGCTAAAAGAAAAGAAGAAGGACCTTTAAATTACAGAAAATTATATGGCATACATTCCATAAATTTCTATTCAAAGAGTATAAAAAAATCTTTAGATAAGTCACAAGGAGGAGTCATCCTGGCTCCAAAGCACTGAGTTCTCCAATAAAGAAGAGCTACCTTGATGCTTATTGCATTAAGTCCAAGGCCTGAAGGAATCAGAGGTTACCAAAGGGAAAGAGGAAAAAAGTGCATGTAGGAAGTGGCATTTTTCAACTCTTTCAAAGCCTGACTGTGTTCTTAGAGCATTGTTCACTTACACCCTCAGTGAAATGCCTTCACCGAGTGAACAACTTGTCCTGTTACTCCTCTCCCTACATGAGCAATGCTAAGGAGCCAATATTTGCACACACTTAGTAATTGAAAGATATCCCAAGGGATGGGAAGTTTTATGTTTGGAAGGTCCTACTCCTTGATGAAGACTCCAGACCTCACAGCCAACATAGCAGTAAAAGGAAACTTTCCACTTCTCTGCTCAGATGGCTAGCAAAGAGGATTTTTTCAGACTATAAACTTGGCGGGGTTTTTTCTTTGTTTTTTTCGTTTTGGGTTTTTTTTTTGAAATCTCAAGGGTAAAGAGTTTCCAAATTTTATTGAGCCATTGCAACCTTAATCTGTCTCCCTAAGGAAAATATAGTGCACCTATGTGACCTACAAACCTAAGAAATGTACCATTTATGTCAGTTAAAGGTCTACCCAGTGGAAAACACTTTAAAAAAGTATGGTGTTTTCATATTTCTCATTGATTCTGGTCTGCCTCTGCCTAGATAAAATGATAGAAATGTTAAAATTACATTTTATGTAATTTGGACCAAAAAAACCCCAAGACCAACATAAATCAGAAAGCCCTTCACATGAATAGAAAAATGCATCTCTTTTCCTTCTCATTTGAGAAATTTTGAGCATCTGTTTTTCACTGTTTTTAAAATAGAGAAAAGAGCAGATAAAATAATTCTGATTGAATTTATAATTAAAAAAAATTGAAACAATGTACAATAATGGTCTAATTTAACTTTCTACTCATAATTTTAACTTTCTAAACATGTATCACTATCTCTTCTCATTTATTACACTTCAGACAGACTTAAGAAAATGGAAAAAATAAGACAAAAGTTTTCAGAAGTGTATTGCATATTTTAAAGGCTCTGCTCTCAGTCCTAGTGAAGTCATACATTGCAGCTGCTACTAGTTCCATCAAAGTATTTGAAAACAACGAAAGTGATCACTGCTTCTTTAGGTCCTCTGTTAGAAAAGTTAGTGTTACACTAGAAAGTGAAGCTGTAAAGTCCATACAGCATTATGGATAAATGAGGTCATTTCCTAGTCAAAATCAGTTTATTTCCAATTTTGCCATGCCTTCTACTTCAATTTTGTACCTACTGACACCAGAACTTCTTATATTGGACTTTAAAGGGAAAAAAATAGATCTCTTTCTACAAGGTAGTTAGTATTATGCTCTTGTCTGTCAAAGTGGCAATTTATTTTATACTTTCTTATCATACCTTGAGAATTTTGCACATTATCTCATAAACTGAAAATGTTTTCTCAGCTCGTGTCCAATCCCAGGTTGTGACCTTTAAAAAACAAACAAAACACAAAATAAATAGAAAAAGAAATGAAGTTATTTTTGTTGATTTTTAAGAATTAAGTTTATTAACAACAACAAAAAATCCCTAAATTATTTACATTGATTGAAATATATTCAGAAAGACCAAGCATTGCCTCAAAGCAACATCTAGCAGGGACCAGACCCTTCCATCTAAGAGATGTCCTCCCTGTCCTTACAATGCAGATCCTCTGCATGCAGCCTGCTCTATGCAAAATGAAGGTTCTTCCCCAGGGAACTTGCAGAGTTTGCAGTGAGATCCTGAGAGGATGAAGCCCTTGAATTTTCATCTCACAGAGCCAGGGCCCTGCCCCATTAGAAAACACGCTTCTCATCACTTTCCTCCTTGTAACTGTGTGCCACTATTTGCTCCCAATCACCTACAGCGTTTGCAGATCCATAAAACCAGAGCCCAACCTTGCAATGTCCCAGACACTTACCCCACACCCCTTGAGATCCAGAGGGAAAAAAAACAAGCACGAAGCAACACAGGCAGATGTTAATTTTTCCTTTTTTCTTAACAAGATCAATCTACTCCTAAATTCTAACAAACTAAAATTTGAAGAATAGTCTTTTTTTTATTTTCCTCTTTGTTTTGGGATTTCACAACTGTTTTTAACTGTGCTCATTTTAAGCAACTGTTTTTACTCAGAAAAATGCATATATAAAAGAATTAAATTAAATCATGGAAGGGTTGGTGTAAAGACTTAAATGAGACAGAAAGAGATAGATTAATGTATTCAGTAAAGGAAGAGTTAAGGCAATATCAGAACAGTGTATAAAATTTCCAAGGAAAATGCGAGCAGAAAACAGGAAAATATTAAAAATGTCAAAATAAACAAGAAAGCACAAAATAGGATCAAATTGAGGTTATAAATGAAAGAATAATCAATTTCATGGTATCCAAAGCAAGACAGCTGTATCATTAAATTTGTTAGACACAATGAAGAGGTTGATGGAAACATACATTACTGCTTCTACCAGATTCATGACAAAGTTTTTGAAAGTGTAAAAAAAAATTAATTGTTTCTAGAGCCAAAGGAACAAAATATTATATGAGATCAATTTATTTCTTATTTAAAGAGAAAGTAATCATTAATAGATCAAAATTATTTTGATGCTGTATGAGAAAATTCTATATCTAACTAATTTTTAGTTATAAACATTGCTGTAATGGAAGGTCCTTTAAGGAAATCACAGGTAGGAATGAAAAGTTCAAAAACACAGTGTTACAGTTCCTCTTCTATTAGAGTTTTCTATATTTACAGTCGTTGTCAAATGTACTCTTCCCTATCTTATTGAACTGTGGGTATTAAACCACAAAGCTACTCTTTCTCCTATGGAGAAAAAGATAAATTTCTCACCATGAACAGAAAAATGGGGAGAGGAGCCTTGCTACAGTCCCACTGAGCCCACAACACCCAGTCACACCAGATGAAGTCTTATTGTCCCACGAGGAAAAGTCATTATTATTGCTCCTGAAGCACAAAGTCATTTGGAGCAATGTTTAAAAATTTACGATAAGCTCCACATTTTGGGAGAGAATATCAGAGCTCCCTCTTCTCCCCTGGTTTCCTGATTTTGTTTGTAACTGTAAAGGGAGTTCTTTTCAGGTCAAAACAAAACTCTTTCTGTACAAAGATATGTGCAAAACAAAAGTAATTGTAGAATGAAGACACCCATAGAAATTGTTGCACCATTCACTTTTAATGTTTTAATTCAAAATATTGAGTAGCAAAAGAAAGGATGTTAGTGGCTCTTTCTCAAGTAAATTTCCAATTATAAATTGGAAGAAATTGAAAACCACTAGAGTTGACAAAATTAGTAATTCTCAAGAAGAAAATGTGCCAGGAAATAATAGAAAAAATAATAGTAAAGAAGTAATTTTCTTTAAAATTTTCAAAATTAAAATAAGAAATACTAGGGTTGCTCTTTTATCTGAGCATGGGAAGTAGAAGTACTATTGATCAAACAGATAAAAAAAGAGGCAGGGGAGGCTGCTGATAGACATCGTTTAAACACATGCTTCCCTAATGTGTTAGATTTTGGCAGAGCCTGGGGAAGTACTCTTGTTTGATTTGCTGGTTAAGAAAGTTTGCAGGACACCACTTTTCAGAAAACAACTTTGTCCAAGTAGTTTATACTGCACATATAAATAAAGCAGTTTTAATTTTAGCTACACTTTATACATCTCCTAAAAAGAAGCTCTGAAACTGTCATTGAAACTTTGTTCATAGTATTTTCTAATCTCTGGAAGAGACAAACCTTCAGAATAGCAAACTTAAATGTATATGGAAAAGTTTGCATGTAGAAAATAGGATTTTGGAAGTGTGCCATTATTATATACATTACATGTTGGAACTGGTTGAATTTTAATGCCCTTTCTAACATAAACATTCTATGATTCTATGTCTTTAAGGCAGCTCTGTAGGAGCTCTTCCTCTGTCCTAAAAAAAGCATTCTCATCATTCTGCTTCCCTCCTACTCTATAAAGAGAAAACATTTTTCTCTGCATTTGAACACTTTTTCTATTTTAGACTAGGAATCAGAATCTGGCAATACAAATTCATTTTGTGCTTGCAGCTGAGCTATAAAAACTTGAGGATGGATTTCTTGTCTTATACAATATCAGCTTGCCAAGATTTTCCTTACTCATGTCACCATGAGTGAGGTTCAGGTTCTTCATATGAACATGTTCCTTTCACACCCATTAATCATCCCCCATCAGACATTTACCCCCTACAAGCATATTATTCCTATAAATTTATGATTCTTTAGGAAAGAGGTTTGCAGTCTCTTCCATAGTTCTTGGAAAAGAATAATCTTCCTTTTTTGTATTGAACAGGATTTCTCATCATTGTTTCTGATTCTATCTAGTACCCAGAATGGAGTTGGTTTTACTTGACAGGCAGCAAATGCTGAAGTAGGTCTGGCAAAGACAGGATAGATGTTTTTGAATTAAGGTGCTTGTTATCATAATCTGACATTTTAATCGGACCCTGACAAATTAATTAATAGACCTGAGAGAGCCAAAATCCCACACCCATGAACTAGTCTACAAACATTGAACATATGATGTTTTCAGTTCATACTTACTTCCATTCCCCATGTTTTTCACATGTTTTTAAACCTTTTGCTAAATGAACACCAATAGTTACTGATGATCAATCTAAAGATTTGCAAGATGACCTTGAACTACCTCAGGAAGATATTGCCCCAAGAGGTGGTAGATGCCCCATCTCTGAAAGCATTCCAGACCAGGTTAGACAGGCTCTGAGCAACCTGCCCCAGTTGAAGGTGTCCCTGCTTGCTGTAAGGAGGTTGGACTAGATGACCTTTAAAGCTCCCTTTCAACCCAAACTATTTTATGATTCTGTTTCAGGCAGGAAGGAGCTACAGCCTGACAAACACAGGGTTTAGCAGCAGTCAGAAAGGTCACCCAATAAACAGGAAAAATTAATCCACATGACTCTTCCTGCTGCAGGCATGGATACGACTGCTACTGTCTCCTTAGCAACGGGCTTAAAAGTTAGCTAGAGGATCTTTACTGCATCTTAGATGTACCATAAGACAGTGAAAGTAAATTGCTGAGTATAAGACAAGCACTAAAATTTTGCCTGGTGTTCCCAGTGAGATTCCAATTAATATTTTAACTTAAACCAATTTCATTTTATTCCCTACCTTCCTTTTGGTGCTCTCAGACTTACAAAAACTTACATTCAGGATGGAATCTAAATAGAGACATATTGCCATCTCTACAGCATGCAAAAAGCTTTGGTATTTCCCCAAATCTCAGCAGTTTCTCTAGAATGATTGTTCAGTTTAAATCTAACCATGTTGCTTTGGGCCTGTTCTGTCTGCCAAAAGAAAATTAAAAGCTCTCTTTTAACATGAGCAGATTTCTCTTTTATTTTTTAAGTGTTCATTTAAGTGTGGGAAAATAAGTTCTTGTAGATACCCAATCTGATGAAGAGTTGTTTTCCATCACTTCTCTACCACACACCCTGAAACTCTGCTGTTAGTTACAGTCCTGCTAGCCCAATGAGTGGTATCTCATTGTGAAAGACTTGTACATATTATATGACAATATTTTATTTAATAACATTTATTCCCACTAAGCATAAGAAACATACTTACTGGAGGTGCTATAAATTTATACAGGGAAGATCCCCTCAGTGCTAGAAACTTTGGTGTGTACATTCGGTCCTGAAGGGAGTCTTGTTCCCGTTCTTCCGTCCAGCCCATGTAGACTATCTGACAAAAAAATCAATAGTGTTGACAATTTCTCAGAAATTTTCTTGTGTTGCAAGTATTTCATGCGCATAAACTGATGTCTGTTAAATTTAACACAGCTGCAAACTTTGAACCCCAGACACAATATCATACATTGACAGTTTCTATAAATGACGCCTGTTAGGACAATGCAAAAGCACGAGAAGAAATACTTATTATACTAGCAACAACAAAAAACCTAAACCACATACTCCAGGGGTGTTAAAGGTGAATTCCACATATTTGCTGACAGATCATGTCAGTGAAATTTAATCTAAGTGAAGTGTAAGGAGCCACCAGTCAGGAATTCTAAGTCAAGCAGCTGCTATTATACAGCAACATAGATACAACCTCCACATGCAAGTTCACAGTCACACATTAAACAATATGACATTACAAATTACATTTCCAAATAATGACAATTTTTTCTTTTTTTTTTACTCCCTGAAAATCTCTGTGTAGGAGTTTTGAACCTTTTTGCTTAGAAAGAGGAAATTAGCCGACTATTTTTCAGTCACTATTTTGAACAGACTTCATCTGTAGCTACAACGGAGTTGTAGAATCCTGTAGAGTCTTACCACTACCAGCAGATCTTCTGACACAGATGTTTGAGCTATAACTTATTCCAGCTCACTTTAGGATGTAATTTCCTACCTACCCTGTTAATTTTGAGTTATTCAATATCAAAATCTTAAAGAGTAGAATAACTTGAGTCACCAGTATACCAACTTCTGAAGAACCACTGAACAGGGAGTAGACACATCAAGGGACATTTGATTTATAACCATGCCATTAGTAATAAAATACATTTGCCAGTGCACACAGATACACTACTGCTGCAGAAAATAGTTCAACCCATATTTCATACAGGACTGCTCATGGGATAGATCTATTTCTAAACGTCTCTGGGAAACTGATCTCTAGACTAACAAAGAAGTTACAGGACATTGTCTTCAATGTCAATAATAATAGTGTAAAGAAAATGGTAATAATTATGAAACAAAAAGGTAAAAATCTAAACAAGTTTGTAAGTGCACCAGTGGTATGAATGTCCTTAAAATGAATGTTTTCACTGCATGTTTTATCCTCCCAGATTTTAAACATTGTGTACCTTTTGAAAAGAAATTTACACTAGTTTATTTCTGTACTTTCGGGCAGAGAATTTTCAGCAACATTTCTTCATGGAATATGCATTAAATAAATAGTGTGTCTATTGTTTTTCTTTTTCCCTCTTCTTTTTTTTTTGGGGGGGTGACAGGGGAGGTTGTATTCTTTTTCATAACACACTGGAAATTATTAGCTTTTTCAAAATCCCCTTGTATGAAATCAACACTATGAGTCTCTGTCACAATTTATTGGATATTTTATGGTCTATAACCAGAGACAGGGAGAAGGTCCATTTTTCTCTTACTACAGGGACACCTCAATACTTAATTATTTTGTCAATATCAAACACTAAAACTGTCATATAGTCTCAGGTTCAATGAAGAACATGTGTTGAAGTATCTGCTCGTTTGGTGACTAAATAAGTTTATAAAAGTCAAAAAGAAGACAGATCTGTACCAGAATATTCAACCATCAAAAAGAATGCTAAACACTGTATTTTTATGCAATAACTAAAAAGCCATGTTCTCTGAAATCTCATTCATTCCTGAATGAAGAGCAGTTCAGAAGGAAAAAACAAACAAACAAACAAACAAACAACTGACTGGTAAAGTAAGAGAAGTTTTAAATTATTTCAATTCAATGTTTATTCAAATATCTCTCATTTCTGCTGTTTCATATGCTATCCATAAATAAGATCCTCATCCCTCTGACTCGACTTTAGTCTCTAGATCTCAGTGACTGAGGTGGTTTTACAAAGAAGAGGTGTGAAAGTATAAACAAACTGTACTACTGTGTGCAGAAGTTTGGCACATTTTCTGTCTATAACTCAAGAAAATGCATGATGTCTAATTTCTAGGAACTGAGACATCTATGCTTCAAAATCAATTCAATTGAATTAATTTGGTTTCATCTTGATTTCTTTAATTTAAGTTGGACACACAGTAAGATATCATCTTGCCTGATGATATTTAATATCCCTGTAACATTGTATGTAATCCTCTCTTTCTGTTTTTCTCTTTCATATTTCTACATCTACTATTCATCACAATAACAGGATACAGTCACTCATGCTGTGCAGAGGTATTGATATTCCACATTTGATTGACTCAATACTAAAGCAGCCATGAAATTTAGAGCAATTGCTCCCTTAGATATTTCTCCTTTGCCCCTGTAGATCATGAGGAAAAATTAGACTGATTTTCCTGACAGCCTGCCACACCAAAAGTTTTATTAACAGAAAAACATTTCTCTTTCAGGCTCAATACCTGCTATTCAACACACAGAGGAACTGTCAAGCAAAGGCTGTATGATTATAATTAGGAACATTTACAAGTTTGTTTGAGTGCACGTGCATATTCACATCTGTGGATTAAAATAGCTCAGGCTACATTCTGGAAAACAAGGCAAAACTAAACAAATACTTGATAACTACTTTAATAGATAACTATGAGAATTATGATGACTTTTAGTGTTCCTAAAGTGATCTCAGTTTATCTAAACATATTAACTGTGTGAAATTATATAAAATATTGCAATTTTTTATAAAATGAAGGTGAGAAACTGTTGAAAATTTTCACTTTTGTGGCAAAGTAGATGACATTTTTGAAACAGCTACTGGGAAACATTCTGACTTCTAAAAAAGCTTTGACCTAAAAAAACTTAGAGAAATTTATTTGCTTGAAAGGGATTGTAACTTACAAAATTATTAGTTCATGTAATATACAAAATTAATAGTTCATGCATATATATGAACAGAAATATTGGATGAATACAATATATGACTGAGAGTTTTGGATTGTATCTCAGTGTAGCTGCACATGGGGACTTGGCACATATGGCACTTCATGAAATTATGAAATTTCAGAAATTTCATTTCTGAAAATAAATGCTTAGCACAGACACGTGATGAACAGATATAAATGCTAATCACAAATAGAGAGTGCATAGCTTGCTCCTTTATAAAATAAAAAAATCTAGTTAGTTTTTAATTTTATCAAGTTTTTTTGAGTCCCTATAAAACTGTTGATTGTTATCAACAAATGTGGAAGGGGTGGTGAAAACAGATTTTATTTATAACTTGCATTCCATTTGAAAGATAATTTTTGTATTCCTGGTTTCTAACTTACCTCAACAGCTCATTCTTCAAAATCAAATGGTGACACAAATTAGTTAACTTAGTGGCTGCTGGTTCAGTAACAAAGATTCAATAAGTCATTATGGTTTATGACTTGAATCATGGACAATTTAAAAAAAAATCTATATCGAAATGATAAATGAAACAGGACAATTTCTTCAGTCAAAAATCCATAATCTTGTAATTTAGTATGTTCTTAAATCACAGAGACATCCTAATCAAGCAAGATGAATTGCCATATTTTACATCAGTCCAACATATTGCTAAAAATGACTTAAACAGCCTTGACTATCAGGGTGACTTTTTCAGAGTTTTTACACATTATATTTTAGGAAGAATAGTAAGACAAAAATACAAGAACATTTCCCCAAAATGAAATGTAATATCTATGTGACATCATAAAAGTGAGGCAATTCAAAGATCAGAAAGGATGCACTGACAGCTTTTTATCTGGCAAGTCTAATACTCATACTCACTTTGTGTGAAATTGTGCTGTAGGGTGACAGGATGAACATGGGATCCAAAGATTAATAAATATGTCAGACAATACAGAAGGGAAAGTAATGAGGGATGATAAATTCAGATAATGCTCTCTACTCTGGTTTTAATATAATTTTCTCTTTACTTTTAAAATAGTTTTTTGGTATAGTCTAAATATTAATTATAGTCAATTTTTAGCAGAAAAACAATTTAAAAACACACTGGAAATGTCAGAAAAAAATGGAAGAAAAAGGGTAGTCACAACGCAATCATTGCAAAATCTATTCTGCTTAGGAAATGGTTTAGGAAAACGCTTAGGAATTTTATGCTGCTTAAAAAAAAATTCAAAGTCAATAGAAGAACTAATGACATAAAATTTTGAAAAATTTTGCCCTATTTTAAATGAAGTAAAAATGTCTCCTATCCTGTTTTTCAGGTTTTTGAAAAGCCTGCTAATCTTTCCACATTTTTTTTACTTCCCGCGAATTTTTTTTTTCTCAATAAAAGATAGTTCACTAAAACTTCAGCTCTCACTGACAGCTCTAAAGATCACCTTCATATTTTTGAACCACTCAACTACAGATAGATTATTTAATCTAAGATTACACACGTACTGTATCTCACAACTTTATTTTCTTCTGTGTAAGAATTCATTTTGTCATCTTGCTACCAGACCAAGGCTGAGTATAGGTTTTCCGTTTGGCTTTGTCTTGTTCTATTCTTGAAATGACCATACAAAAATTGAGGCAATATTATCAGGTCTTGAAGTAAATAATGTCAGAGAAAACAGAAAATATTTCTTAATTATGAAAGGTGATTTTTTGCTTACAATCCAGATAAATGAAAACTGGTATCAAAAACTGAAAACAGAGCACATTTTCTCTTATCAAATAACATCAGAATCAGAGCAAAGACAGTTGTTTACAGTAGTAAAACCTGCCTGGACCTCCATAGAGATCTGTCAAAAATTAGCAGTGCTGTTCGAAAACCCTGCACAACAATTTGTTACATCCAACAGCATCCCATGAAAAAACTTTGCATAAACTTGCAAAAACTTTCCCAATGAGATGTACTGGATCTTGCTAGAACTCAGGACTATATATTGACTGATGCATGCCATCACTCCCTCCACAGTTTGAAAAATTATGGCTACATGTGGATACAGGACAGTTTCCCAAACAGGTAAAGAACTGTGTGTTGCTTTTCCAGGTTTCTTCTTCTTGTTATTATCTACTAATCCACAGAAACATTTTGGCTCACT